AAGCCTTGGAGAGTGGCGAGACTTGAACTTAGGCCCGTTTTTTCTTTAAGGCATTAGTCCTGAGGTAAGCATCAAATTGAGGCGGTTTCAAGGACCGAGTTGAAGTCGGATCCCATTCCCTCCCCAACATTCAGGATACGGCCACAGCAGGAACGCCGAAAGGGCTTGTTTGCTTACTTCCACAGAAGGCCACTGTCCACGCGTCATTTGCTCATGAGGAAGATTTTTGAGAGTTCTATATCAAAACCATTCCAGTAGCAATACTGGAATGGCACCGCTCTCTCTCTATGCACACTACCACACGTCAAAGCTAGTGAACTCGCCTGCAGCATGTCCAACAGTCTCACCGGCTGCTACGGCTCCGTGTTTTACAGAATCAGCCACGTTACCTAAAGCGGCACTTCAATTTTTTTAAGAAGGCACTATCTAAAACTCAACACCACCCGGGCATTTATAGTCCATTCAAGGAACATGCGCGGCGCATTTTGAGGGGAAAAATCGGCGCAGAGTTCAGTAAGTCTGCAGTACTTTGGAACTGGACGAAAAGGTTGTACATCCAAGCAGAAAGCTTGCCCAAGAATCCGCCTATTCCCGCTTTCTCAAATTCGGATAAACTCTTGTCAACTCACTAGCTGCGTCTCCGACGGCCTCACCCGCTGATGCGACTCCGGAAGCCACAGAATTAGCCGCATCAACTGAAATGAAAAAATTACTTGGTGTTTCATTTACAGGGCACAATTTGTGAGCCATTCCCTTCACTCGTTGAATTTTATCAAGTAAATCGTGATCTCAAAGGGGGGGGGGGCAATGACGGTAAGAGTAGTGGGCTGTTCTTGAGAATGGCGGTGGAAACACGCACACTCTAATATTAAATATATTCATTGCCTTAATTGTGGGTACTGGAGTTTTCGGGTACGGTAGACCCTAACTATGAGCATCCTGCGATGGCCTTGTGGATTTTATATATGTAGGGAGGACGTGAATGTAGATAGAAGAAGGAGAAATGCCTCTCTAATGGTAGTAGAATTGGTT